AAAAAAAAAAAAAAAAAGGGGGGGGGGGGGGGGGGTGCGCAGAGAGGAGGATTATGTGTAAAGCCAGTCGTCCCTGCACCCACCCAGCCTGGGTCCCTAGTTCAGAGCTACAGCCCTTAGTTCCTATAAACCAGTGCTTTCTGGACTCCCGAGCTGAGGAGGTGAGTGTTTGCTGGGGGCAGCATCGTAAACTCCCCTCTCGTACTTGAGTCTCTTCCTCTTCCTCCCAGCTTCTCCCCCTCCTCCTTCTTCAGCTCCTGCCTCCTCCCCGCTTTCTCACTCCCACCCATTTGCCTCTTTGTGTCTCCTCTTTCCTCCCCTGGTCCCTTCTCTCTTCTCACTCCTCTTCCCTCGTGTGCCCCCCTCCCTTTCTTCAGCTCCCCCGCCCTCTTTCTCTCCTGGCCCCCTCCTCCTCTCCCACATTGGGGCTGCTTTCTCCCTGACTCAGCAAGGTGCTTTATAAGGTGCTGAGGGGGCTCAGCCAAATCCAAACCACATTGTCTGTGCAGACTCTCTCCACAAGGAGTGAGGCTGCACGGCAGAGGGGAGAAGGGCTTGAGCTGCTCCCCATCGCCCTCTCCCCTTCCCTTCTTGGCCCTCCCTCTGAAAGGGTAGTGGCTAGGGGGACCTCCTGGCCAGCCTCAGTGCCAGTCACCCATGGGCATCTGCCTTCTTGACCTTGGCATGGGCATCAAAAGATCGTTGGGCTAACTTGCCAAGAATGTCATTGAAACTCCAGAGTCCTGGCTGGTGGGGGGTGGGGAGGAGATGAGGGGTGGAGGGGAAAGGGAAGCCCTGAGCACTTTCCACCAGGGCCCCTCCAAGGCAGTTTTCATCAGAGCTGCTGCTGATGCCCCAGAAGGTCCCCTGCCCCCCACCCCAGACCAGTTCTCCTTTGCTTTTTCTCCTTGTTTAGGAAAAAATTTTATGAAAAAGAAAGAAAGAAAGGAGGGAGAGAGAGGGGGGGAAAAAGCAACCCAACAACAAAGTCTGTCCCACTCCAGTGAGGTAATTGAAAACAAACTTCTTCCCCCCCACCCCCCCACCCCACCTCAGTTCTTGAAGTGCAGAAAAGGGAAAAGCTGCCCTGGGAACCCAGCACTGGCCATGACCATGATGCCTGCTCTGACCCACAGGCTGGAGGGGCTGCGGCCAGCCTGGCAGAGTGCCGTCCCTTCCCAGGGGCACAGGGGCAGGAGTGGGGAATAAGGGCTCTGATGACACTCCAGAGAGAGACATCACCTTCCAGGGCTGGCCCACCACTGGCCTCTCCCCCTTTGAAACATCAACAGCAACAAGAGCAACTTATAACCAAATGATTTAATTGGTGGTGTAGTTCTAGAGCACCCAAGCCTTGGAGACCAAATGACTGTCCTCCAAGAAAAATCACAAAGTGGATGTTGTCTACAAGCCCCAGATTAAGAGCTGTTTCCTCTCTGCTTGCTCTCCCTGGCAGCCCTTTGTAGAGGGAGGAAGGGAGACCCTCCAGGAAGGGTCTAGGCTTGTGGGTCCCCTAGGTATCCTGCCCAGCAAGTCCCAACCCAGGCCTAAGGGAAGGAAAGAGAGCACTGCACAGCCAAACCGCCCCTACCTCAGCACCAGAAAAAACCGACAACCCAAAACCCCAAAGGAAGAAGAATGCCAAATGTCTTTATGGGGAAGCAGTTCACAAATGGGGACGCTTGGTCTGTCCATCGCCCTGAATCAGGAGCATTCTCGCTGAGTCACCCATGAAGCCTCTGGTGTTGAAACTGGTGCCTCGTGCTGATTAATGAATTACAAATCCCCCACTCATGTGCACTCTCCCTGGTCACTGGGAAGAAGAATGAAGAACCTTGTGAACTTGAGGGGAAAACTCCCCGCCAAGTGCCCTCTTCTTTCCTCCAAGCTGGGCAGTGGGTCTGCGGTGCCCTCTTCCTCCCCCACAGGGGGCATTGTGAGCTGGTTAGTCACCTGCCCCAGCCCCTGGCGCCTCACTTAGTTCGAGCTTTTGGAAATGGGACAAGTGGCGGGACAATAGGCAAGGGGGGCGGTCAGCCCAGACAAAGGGCAGCAGGAAAAACACCATCACTTGCTTCGAGGCCAGCTCGCTGGCATTTGGGAGAATGTGTCATTGCATTTACTCGAGGGGGAGGGGGAGGGAAGGTTAGAGATCAGGAGGCAGAGGTAGAGTGGGTGCAGGGACCCGCACCGGGCAGGGACAGGGGGCAGGGGGCAGGCGTCCCCAGCCGACACCGAGGGAGAAGCCCACACCCCACGCCCGAGGCCGGCTCACGCCCCTGGCTCTCGGGAATCTGCAGGCGGACTGATGCCCTCCCCGCCCCCTCCCCCAGGAGCCCCGGGGTGGTACCGCCGCTGTCTCGCCTCACCTCACCCCCCCTCGGTGCTGTGGGAGGGAGAGCAGCCCCAGAAGCCCTCCCTTCCCTCCTCCCCTCCTCCCCCCACCCCGGGGAGGGCCGCTACAATTTGTGGTTACAGCTTTACACGTCAGAAAAAAAAAAAAAA